TTTGTGTCTCTTTCTGATTTTGTACTCTAACAAGGCTAATCAACTAAGAGAATAGAATAATTAAGAGTATATGCATAACTAAAAAAAAAAAAAAAAAGAAACCAACACAGTGCAGCCCAAAATTGTTAGCATTTTGTATTATATCGTTTTATGATATACTAATAAGTTATAAACCAACAGGTTTCATATGTGTTTTATTTGTCTAAGTGTATGACAATAATAAGACTTTTTGACTGTATTGTGAAATATCAATAGCAACCAATGGTCATTGATCACTCAGAAAATATATTCATATAATTTATTTTTTTAAAACAATATCTTTAACAGTTGATACAGATAAGGCATTTCACTTGATAAGGCAAATGTCTGAAAACTGATCTTAGTAGAAATAATTCAAGTCTACAAGCAGTAATATTAAGCAACTAAAATAATTCTAAGAGTTCCAAGAGACTTAAAACATAATCTAAAAAAAATTATAGATTTTATGCACTGATAAAGCATGATCTTATTATTTGGTGAAAGTTTTGGGGTGAGACAACCAAGGAGAACACAATATTTTAAGACTGCCATGTTATCTCCTAGAACATACAAAGTGGCACAATTTCATAAATCAAAAACTAGCACAGGCTCAAGAAAGAGATTTTATAAACAGATTTACAGATAACAGCAAAAATAACAAAAGATTGTCCTTTTTCAATTTCTAGGGAAAAAAAAGAAAAACACTATAAAAAAGATTTTAAAAAATGAAAACAAGTTAAAACTGTAATGTAACAAATGATTTAAATTGATAATGCTCAATCAATAACAAAATGAGCAAGAAGAATTCACTGTAGGAGAATTTCTTTTTATAATATTTATGTGAATTTGAACTCTCATTTTTTTTATTTTACAAAAAATATTTGTCTTGCAACCAACATACATCTTGTCAGTTGCCTGTGCTTAATTCAAGCCTATAAGTAACATTTATAAACTTTGATCAAGTGTTAGAAAAAAAACCTAAAAAACAGAAGAGATTTAAACATTTTCTTTACTTAGTCCTTACTTGAACATCTGGAGAAATGCAATATACAATCCAGGTGTCCACTTCAAAGTCTTAATATTTTCACAGGTTAACATCATAAGTCTAGTTGGGGCCAGAAGCTTCTTTTGATGGAAACAGCTCTTTATATATAAAATTTCATTTGTTAACTTGAAGTTGAGTTTCATCAGCACAATCTTTAAAAAAATAAGAATTCATCAACTTGAGGAGTTTTCTCAATTTTAATCCAGATTCCCAAATATCTTTTTCCCCTGTAAAAACATTGCATGATAATCACTAATTATCTGACCATTTTCCTTCTAAAATTAAGATAATAGATATTTTAGTAAAAAAACAAAAAAAAAACTTTCCCATCAGCTCAAAAGTGAAGGAATAAATTCATATCTGGTATAGAATAAGAAAAGTACAAATATAGTCAATCATTCTAGCACATATAGTCTGGATCAAAATATTTTTCATTGAAGCTTTCCTGTATACACAAATTTAGAAAAACTTGTTAAAGATTAATTAATTTGAAGAAGGAAGATTTGTTATGGTTGAACATTTGAAGTTTATATTTACATATAGCAACATATTTAAGTCAGTAGAACTTGACTGAAATTTTGACTTGGAATGTACAATCATTGATGAAAATTTTTCAAAATTTGCTTGGAAACTTCAGGATCAAGAGAATAAATATGAAAAATCAACAGAGTTAGGGATGTTTTTCTAGCAACATCACCGATGAATTCTACTCCCAATTATTTTTATCTTTTAATTATAAATTGACACAAGCTGCTAAACTGAGGATTTTGACCAGCAGATTATATAATCTCAGGACCTAATATAATCATAATTCACCATCCACATCATGATCATTTAACAGACATAAACTTCTGTGATCAGCAGATTATGCTACTTCACCTATTCATTGACATTATCTGGAAAAGGAAGAATGTCTTCAATCTACATTATATAAATATCACCTTACAGTCTTATGCACAAATACATTGACATAAATTTTTAAAAGTAAACTTTTTATATGAACATGCTAGGATCAGTTTGCTTATAATCCTGGTAAAATTGAAAAAAGAAAGAATAAACTTTCTTTTTTGTCTTCTTGTAAAAAAATTTGTGAATAATGTATTAACTGTCCATTTACATTGCATTTACAAACTTGAATTTTTCAACTTATTAGAAATTATGTATGTAATTTAAATATTTTGAGGTTTATTATTAAAAATAATCTTGATTACATTATCATAATTTGTTTAAAATTATTTTTTTTTTTCCTGGAAGAAAAGCTGATTGATCAAGACTGAAAATTACAAATAACTTTCTGGAAAAATCTCATCTTGCATATTTACAATTTATAAGATGAGAAAATTATCTGGCATCAAAGACTAGGTATATTAATCTGAGAAAAATGAGATATATACTGGATTAAATTCAAATAAACCAGTCAGAAAGTGTGAGTATTTAAACTACTAGGAAAAAGTAATTTGTTTTATCCATTTTGTAGAAGATAATTATCCACAACAAATTTGTGTTGACTCCACAAAAATTTAATTTTTTTTTCAGCTTCCCCTAAACAAGAAAAACACATAAGGCAGATTTTCATATGAAAGTTATGAACTATAGGGAATCCTTTTTTCTAACAAGAAATAATGCTTAGAAGTTTCATTTTGGGAAATTTAAGAAAAATAAGTTCATTCTATCAGCTAGGATTTATTTAGCATCCTATCATTAAAAGATAAATAATTTGACAAAAATAACCATTAAGTTAAAACTCAAGTAAAAAGAAAGAAAAACTGCAAAAACTAACAGTTTTGGAGATGAGAGAGACAAGTCAAAGTTTGTACAAATATTTCACTAGTATATTCAACCAAACATAATACATCCCAGTTATAAATGGATTTAGAAGAAAAGCAAAAAAATATACAAGATCTTTGATCTGAATATTATATAAACTATTGCATTTAAAAATCTCTAAAATTTGCAGTCATTCTCTTCTAATGTCAACTTTTTCTTATCTTCACCTGATTTCATTGACATCAGCCTTGGAGATCTGGTATTGCAGAGACAAGCACAGACCACATCCAAAAGTAAAATTCTTAAAAAAGTCCATATATATTTTACTTTTTTAGTACTATGTTTTGTTTCTACCATTCTTTCTTTTTAATCTTTCTTGTAGCTTCCTCAATTTAAACATTTGTTCCTTCCTTCACAATTGCAAATCCAAACATAAATTAACATACACAAATACAGAATTTGTACATGTGTGATGCTTGAAAAAATAAAAAAAACAAGCTCAAATTTGTTGAAAGTTATATTTACTGTTTCTATTAATGTGCGTGTGTGTGTGTGTGTGTACATGAGCATCAGATTACAGAATGACTTTTTATGTAACTGCACATTGTGCAAACAATATGTTTAAAACGGGCACCATTTTTTTCATACCTTCAGTTTTGGCAAGCAGTAACAGTTGAACTTAATAGAAGTAGAATTAAACAAAAATAATTCAAATATTATATAGTACCTGTGTGCAAAGATTCACCCAAAAACATTAACAACTTTTTAAGGCATAAAAGTCAAATCTGAATAGCCATGTCCAACCATAATTTTGCATTTTGCATGTGTGTGGCTATGAACATCTAACCAGTAAATTTGATAGTTTCACAAACAAAAAAAGAAAGAAAAAAGCCCATTGTGAAAACCATACACGTCCCTAAATCAACATTTTTTTTTTATATATAATTCTTGTTAGCATTTTTTTTTTACATTCATAATTATATTTTAGTAAGCAGCAGCAACATAGGCAATGGTTCTTTTATGAATGATAAAAAAAATGTTGCATTGTCCTTAGCTATACAAATGAAGAAGCCACAGAATGTACAAAATCATTAACTGCTTTCTTAACACAATATCCAAATTATCACAAGGAAAATATTAGCATTATTAAACATTGTTTTAGATTCTGCCTTTGGGTAAAGAAAAATCCTTCCTCCTTTTTTAAGCTTTTTTTCTATTTATACAAAATCCTCAATTTGTTACAAGTGAAAAAAAATTCTTTGTTTAGAATGATGATAAAAGTAAGAACATACTTAATAATGATCAGCTCAACTTATGCTTTGTATTTTGGATACAATTACAGATTATAAGTGTGTCAGTTGAACTTCTTTTTAAACAGCTTCTTAACTTATCAAAAAAAATACTTGTATAATTGAGAAATATTAAAAACTTAAATCCCCTTCAACCAAATCATATACACAAGAGATTTGCGTAACCAAACCACACATGCTATTATATAATGTATATACATTTTGAAGTTTGGGCATGTGTGTGCACACACACACATCATATATATATATATATATATATATATATATATATATATATATATATATATATGATCACATGACTTTGTACATAGTAGTTCAGGAGTTTTCTGCAAATATAAAGAAAGAAATGTTCAAATGTCTGTTAATTTGGATTGTTTGTTTCTTTTTTAGTATGTATATATTAGTTACAAAATTGATCAAATTTCTCTATGGCAATCAAAGAGTATAATTAGTTTTAGATATTATTCCATTTGTTTTGGGTTTTTTTTTGTTTTGCACAGTGTCATTCTTGTTGGTTAACTGCATATCATTATGACCTGCAGATACCAACCTTAAACAAAGATAGGGTTGGGGTTGGCAAGGTTAGTAAGTTAAAAACTGAAATAAACAATTAAAATTTAGAAATTGGTTTTCAGTATTGATTAATTGTGATTTCAGGAAAAGAGTGGAAAAGAAAATCAAAAACGAATATACAGAACCATCATTGAGAAAAAAAAGACATTTGATTGTGGTCATCAAATTTGTTCTTAGTTCATTGTCATCAGCTCCATGGGTGAGGCAGATTTCCTTAATTGGAAAAAAATTATCTGCAGGGATACAGAGTAGTGTGGGGTAGAGAAGATAAAACACTCAGAGACGACTCATCGTGCTATTGAAACACCTGCAGGAGGTGGTGGTGGTGGTGGAGCCCGACGATTTGCTGTTTGAGTGGAAAAAAAAAAAAAGCAAAATTAGCAAGTGACATAAATTTTTAGGACATTAAGAAAATTCATTATCCTTTTATGGATGGATAAAGCAAAATAATTTACTGTAGTTTAAAAACACACTCTTCAAAGAATACCATAGACTTATAAAAATCAATTATGATTTGCTGAAATAAGATGCATGTATTGGACTTACTCTGACAAGCTCTTATAAAATGAGATATTCTTAGCATTGCCTGTAGTCATTAACTTTTTCTCATCCCTCCCACCAAATTTTAAAGAAAACAATTTGCTTATACAGCAATTAAAAATAAAAATGGAGTATTATATTTTTTGTGATTAATTTCTATATTTCTTGCTCAAATTCTTTTAATATTGGACAGTTTACTCTTAAAGGTATAGCAATTTGATATACAAAAATAATCTTGTAGTATTTCATCAATAAATGTTTCATTTGAAATTTAAAGACTGTTATAGTGAGTAACAGAAAGGTGAAAAAGCTGTTTTTTTTATCAAGACAAAGTATTTATTAATGAAGACAATTTTGAAGAACTGTATTAGTATATTGATATTTCATTGAAGCACATTTGGAATTTACTAGCTCTTTTATTTATTGTGATAACAAACCAATTAACTTACAGCAATACCGAAGCCCACACATATCACTAATGACTCAATTTCAATTCTTCAAAATTTGATGGGTAATTTATTCTTAATATCCTCTTGATGATTTTCAATAAATCTTGTATTGGATTTGCCTCTGGGTTATTTGTAAGCCAATTAAGAACAGTTATCCCCCTCTTCTTAAAACAATATTTTGTCAATTTTGTTTTGTGAAGTGGGTGATCATGCTCTCAAACTTGTCCTTAATATATCTGATATAGAAAATGATCTAAGACATCCTGATAGACCACAATATTTTGCCTATTGTGCCATTAATTGTTTATCTGGATAACCTTCAGTGAATTTTGAACTGAACCCTTTATTTAATCTACATATATATATTGTTCTTGTTCCATAAACCATGTCTAAGGATATCTTATCTAGTTCTTATTTAGTACTCCTCAATTTTTACTTGCCACATTTTACACTGAGTACACACTGCCCCAGAGCTGCAATGAATATAAATGTAAAACTAGGTGTCTCTTAAAAGTAAGCATGGATGAACATCAAAAAGCTGTAATTAAAGTTAAGACAATGAAATCAAGCATAGCTGATCTTGTATGGAGGGAAAAGGGTAGTCATTAACTTTTACAACTCAGCACTAACTTTCAGAGTTGTAGCCCTTGGATCCATTTTAATTTTGAGTGTAGTAAGTTTTTGAATAGTGGGTATATTACTAGCACTATAACTTTTAGGGTTTTAGAGATATTGTTATAAAATTTTAAGGTTATTTGCATGAAAGGATGTAGAAAATATAATATGTTTTTTACTCTACATATAAATTTTGACAAAAAAAAAAAAAAAAAAAAAAAATGAAAACTTAAAAAAAAAATATAACAGAATTGAAAAAAATGATTCCTACTCATCAGATTGGGAAAACCTTGCACGTATAAACGTTGTCCAGTAAGAGAAATATGAAGGTCACTTCGTCAAACCTATCAACAAAAGTAAGGCCAAAAATGCTTTCACTTTTTCAAAGCAAATGTTTTTCAAAGCTAATGTTTTTCAAAGCTCTGATTTGTGAGTTGGGCTTTGCTGTGTCACCTAATTTTGTTTTCACATTATTTGCATACTGGTTATTAATTGAATAACCTCATAAGATGAAAAATATCTACCTTATTAGTTTCTTGATTAACATTTGTAGGTCCGAGATATAGGAAAACTGGTAGCCATGAGGTGATCATAAGCTTGTGATGGTTTGAAAATCTCACCTTTTGGCAAAAATCACTTTCAGTTTCACTGTCATGCACATAACCAATATCTGTGTAGGCACATTTGAAAAATTCTTCTTCGTCACTCTCATTGACCATAAAAAGTTCCTCTATCAACATAACAGATCCATGCCTCACCCTGGGGGTTGTCATTGTGATTGAAAAACGAACACTTTTAAAAAAACATTATTGTAATTTGTAGATAAAACAACTATTTCAATTAGGAGAAAATGGCTGACATCCAGTCATTCCTAGTTTATAGAACAATCTTAATGATGCCATTTCCATAGTAATAGTTTATTTTTAGAAACGTACTTTCCTTTTGAAACAAAGCTCTGTCACTGTGAACATGTCTGCCTGGAGAATATTGAGAAAGAGTATTGCCAACAGACATGTATGTCTGCAGAGTTGTAAAGGTTAACTACTGTCGAATTAAGTAAAATACTAGGCAGAGAACACTGAAGAATCAGACGACTGAAAGTATCAATTCAGATGTTAGGCTATGAGGACTTCATTAGTAGGCCTAGCATAGAAATATGATATGGGAACTGATAGTAAAGAAAAAGAAATAACTGCAAGGCTTCAATAGCAGTAGTAGAAAAGAGAAGTGTGAAAGGCAGCATCAATCATCAACAGGCAAGTTAGTTTTAAGGCTCCAAGTTCTCCACTTAGGATTATTCCACAGGATAATAACCTAGAGCATCCTACCTCTACAGCTATCTTCTTGCCAGCCTCTCACAATGTGTGAATGACCTCTGATATATCCCTAACAACTGTCATTTATGATATTGGGCAACAATATGCTGAGCATCAAACATTTCACTATTTTTATACCAACACTTTGTCACTGAGAATACTCATGAAACAATATATGTAAATGATTAAATGAATTTCAATAGTCAGGGAGGAAATACTAGATTATTTTTAGATTTTGAATTGATAAACTGTTAAGCATAAACTATCAAATTTTAAACAAATTTAAGTGAGAAATATGAAAATTATTTACAAAAGACAGAATATTCTATTTTCTGAATCATTGTTTTATATAGTTACTTAATTACTTGTATACTTACATTATTCCAAAGCACCTTCAAATGTTTGTCACATTTTCTGTCACTTGTGCTTCCAGATAGTTTAACAGAGAGTACAAAATGTTACTTCACTTATTTTTGAGATTAAAAAAATGACTAAATAGAGCTGCTCTTGTTTTTTTAAGGTTACAAAAGTATTTTCTGTTTTTAAGAAAATATAAGCAACATTTCATGTGTGTTGAAAATACTGGAAATATTCTTTAATTCTTTATCAACAGCAATTTTGATCTGATCATTTTATTGAAAAAAAGAAAAAGAAATTGTACCATGATTCAAGCTTTCATGCAATCAAGAAATATTCCTTTTAATACTTTTAAATACAAACTCAACAGAAGATGCAACAAGTCCCAATTATCTATTAACCCTTTAGCATTCAACATGCACAAACCAGCACTGTAAATATTGGCTCTCAATGCTGCTTGTGGGACTGTGTTATTTGTGATGATGTCATATATTATGACAGAGTATAGTAGGATGGGTTGAACATTGGGAACTGATATTTACAGGGAAAATTGAATGCTAAAGGGTTAAATATTTTTCTGAAAAGATAACCTTCAATATATACAAACTCTTACCTGTATTTTTTGCACTTTGGCTGGGGTATGTCTTTGGGCAGCTTGTAAATGGTTCTGCAGGAGGAAATTCATGAACACTGTGGAAGTAGCCACGTTTCTCTAAATCTAAAAAATTGAACAAAAAATCAAATCAATATCGTAAGCCACAAAAAAGATCAGGCTTGAATCTTTTTTTCAGCTATTTTTGGTAGTTGCATTTAAACAGTTCATTTTTTATGAGAACACTCAAGTTGATTCCAAAGTATATACCAAAGAATTCTCCAACATTTAATTTGTTGAATACTTCAACATTTACTTTGTTATCCAGAATGATCCTTTTGTACTAATACAGGTATCTGCCAGCCTTCCTGATGGCATCAACTCCCAACTTGGCATCTATGCTGATGACACAACCATATACTTCTGTCTTGATAGTAAGTCTGATCAGTTTGATTAAGTCAAACTGTCCGCTGGTGGTAAAAACGACCTTCAGTCTGTTGCTAACTGGGGTAAAGGATGGCTTCTTAATTTTAGCTACTCTCTATTAATCAACTGAGAGACCCCTTTCTGCCATCCATCAGCATGGCTGATACTAATCTCCAGGATGGTGACTCATTGCACCTTCTCGGGTTGACATGAAGTGGAAAGACTATATTAAATCCATTACTAGGTCAGCTGCTAAGAAAGTTGGTTCACTATGTTGTGTTAGACAGTTTTTATCTCCAGAAACTCTTACATATCTATAAGTGTACCATTTGTCCATGTTTAGAATATTGCTGCCATATATGGTCCAGTGCTCATGCTAAATACCTAGAGCTCCTTGATAAAATCCAAAGAAGAATCAGTAATATTATTGGTCCTGATCTGGTGTTTGTAATCTGTAATCCAACAAAATATACCTATTTTCTGGCCCTCGTTTAGCACAGAGTATATGCATATAACCCTTTTCTCTCCAGATATGATCAACTACATAAAATTTTTCCACCTTTGCTTTGGTTATAGCTTTCTTTTTTATGTTCTTCAAGTGTGACTGTAAGAAGACAACTTGTTTCTCCATTTATATACCTTACCATATGCAAGGTATGTTATAAATGCATTTTTTTTAGTCAAGGATCAAGAAGGTTTTACTAGTTAATACTACCTTCATGCTGTAATATCTCCAAATGCTTTGGATCTTTCATTATACTTCTTACGTAAGAAATTTTTACTGTAGCAACATAATTAGTGATTATGGAGGTTCTCTTCCCATTTATTGTTCTAGAAACAATCAATGAAGGATAGTTATGTCAGAGTGTGCTCCTAATAAGCCATTTCTTCTTCCAGCTTTGATTACTGCTGATGATTTGTACCCAACTGCTTTTTTAATACATAAGGAATAGTTGAACTCAGTGTTTAGATATAATACTGTATGCATCAGCTATTTATACACATTAGTGCTATATACTTTATACGGGATAATCATGATGTTATAAAAAAGAAAAGACAATTTATTCTTATATTCCTTCTCCATCACTGTGAAGAGTATACTCATAGTCTGAGTTCACATGATTGAATAAGCCATGTATGTCCTATTTGTGGGCTCATGGAATAAAATTATCATCCACATATGTAAACCAGCTTGACAGATTCAAGAAAGTAGAAGATAGAGTTAATTCTTAAAAAAGAAAACTTCACATAAATGTTGGCAGTTACTGAGAAAAGTGGTTACCTCACAGACAGAGTTCTTCACAATGAATATTGAACCCAGAAAAGAAACCAGTTATTTTTCCACCTATCATAAAGGATACATAAAACCTCCTCTGCTTGATAGTGGTTTTAATGTGCTTGCCAAAATGTGACTCAAAAGCTGACATGTTGAGTCATGAAAATTAACTATGGATCTAAAAAGCACATCTACTTCCAGTATTTCAGAGAAATGTAAGATTGCTCTTGTAGCATGTGACTCACTCCATGTTGCCAAAATAAACTTTGTGGTCAGTGTTATGCCAAAGCTTCAGAGAAGCCAGGTGCATCAGCATCTTGACCTGAGAAATAACCTCTTAGCTGTTTGGAGCAGATCTACAATTCACCTGACGTGAGTGGCTGCCTCTATCATGTAAATGCTGATGAACCCAGCTGTGCTTAGGATATGCACATGTAGTAAAATATGACAGGTAGATATATAAACACCCACCCAAAAAGGAAAAGAAGAGGGTCTTTTGCATTTTGGTGAGAATGTAGAGTCCACATTTGGAGAGGAACTCAGGGCTGCACATCCACTTGCTGACAGTAATTGAAGAAGTCTGGAGTTGAATAACAATTTAATGTGGTATATGAATGATTCTGTCTCATGTTCTCATTAAAATATAATCCTCCACTACGATATTGTGCTAGCTGGCTATTCTTTAGATATAAGATGATCCTTGTACTTCTTTAGAATATAAAATGGTTTCTTTAAAGCTGAAGTAGGACATTTTTTGTTTTTTTACTTCTTGTAATACCTGGACTATTACTGATGCAAATTTTTCTTTATACATCATTGTGTTCATTACAAAAAAAAAAAAAAAAAAAAAAAAAAGAAGAAGGTTAAGAGTTGATGAGCTATGTCAATAGGCACTTATTAATACATATTAGAATAACTGTGAGTGTCAGTGTGTCTAATTTCATCATAATGCTTTCCTAAGAAATAAATTCCTCACTACAGAAATATTTTGGGAAGGTCACTTGTTTAGAAAATTTTTCATTCTCCTTTCTTACTCAAATGCAATAATTTCCAGTGAAAATATATCTGGGCTCTGGAACTTTTCTGTACAAAGAAATAGAGATATAAAGTTTAATAAACCCAGTACAAGAAAAAAACATGTTTATGCAGTGAAGTATCAATTCCTGCTGATGTGAATATGTCACTCAAATTATTAAAAAGTAGAAAGACCATGTTAAAAAAGTGACAGCTCAAAACAACAATGATTTGCTTGCTGATCAGTTTTTTCTTTGGGAATTATTTTAAAAGTTTTGCAAGCATACATCTCCAAATTATTTGGGGAGTAAAGCATTGCAGAAAAAAAATCATATCTATCAAAAATATATCAATCTGACTTTTCCTGGATAAATTTTGTATTAGATGTTGAAAATTTATTATAGATTTCATACAAGTTTAAAAACTTTTTAAAGATTTTATTCAACTTTTTAACAATTCTTAATCTATCATAATTTTACTTTTAATATTTTACAAAATTGATTTTAAGATAGGGATGCAAATTTATATATCAGATTAATTGTGGTTAAGTGAATGATAAAATGGAAAAACTACATTAATATGTTTTGTTCTGAGAAGGAGATTCACACTAATAATGGTTTTATCAATGGTGTTAATTTTATATCAAGAGGGTAGGGGAAAATAAAACAAATGCCAGTTATAGGTTTTCATTGAAAACTTTAAAAATGGAGAGCTGCTTAGCTTTATACTTAAATTTTGATGTCTATCTAGATGTTTATGTTAGCTGGTCTCTGCATTTCTGGGATGAGGAATTATTATTTACATTTGGACTAATGTTCTCATCTTTGTTGTTTTTGCTGTTATATTCTCTGGCCTTCTTCAGATGTTTCTTTAGGTGACCTTCAGAATTAACCTTAAGGTTAAGGAATTTTGAACTGAACTCTTTATTTAATCTATAGAGATATATTATTCTCATTTGACTGTCTATGCCTAGACTGACAAGAGTCTGGACCACTATTTACAAGCAAATTGATTAGCAAAGACTGCAGATTTAAACATGTGTAATGATTCATTTCACAAAAATTTCTAAGTTTTGTAGTCATTACTGTCAAAGATTGTATAATTTCACAAAATTAGATACATGCATAAGAAAAAGTATTCATATTACAGAGAAAAAACTGCTTTGTTGACTTCCTCATCCAAAAATTAAGAAACTTTCCTTCAATAGATAATTCTTTTATGGCATTCCCAGGATGGTATACATTTAAACTGTTTTTGCCCTACTGACAAATTGTGTTTCTGTCTGCTTTTATATGGTGCAAATGTTTTTTTTTATAAAATTAGATTTATCTCTGTTGTGCTATGAATCATAGCAAGAAGTTACAGTGCATAAGCTGTTAAAATGAAATTTCTATGAACAGTCAGATTTGCACATTTGTATCATATTTTAAGTATTACATCTTTGAGAATATAACTTTTCCCAATGTTTAGGCTGGTCCATTTCTAATAATTATTGAGTCCATTAGTATTCTATTTCTTTTAGTTTAAGACTATCTACATGGCATTACATTTATGATTTTTAACTAGTGTGAAGCCTGCATTTTCAGTTATACACTGTTGAAATTGACAGAAAAATGATAAAGTGTGAGTGGTCATAACTTCATTTCTAATTGAGCTTTTAAGATAAATTTGGTATAATTTTTATGTTTTGTCTAATCCTCTATGTCTGTATTAAAGATTTTTAGATATATTGAAAATAAATTTTTAGTCTGAGATAACTACTTGTATGAAAAAAAAAAAAACAAAAAACAAAGCAATATTAAGTATTGTTTTCTTTAGATAAATACCTGTTTTTCTTAATTTCACAAATGTTGACAGATTTTTCTTAAAATCATATAAAATTATCAAATGACAAATATCTTGTGATAATTTTCTACACCAATGCTTCCATTATGAACTGCTGCTATTTATAATAACTTAAAAAAAAAGAATAAACAAATAGTATACAATTTATAAATAACTAACCCTTTCCTCAGGTGGTCCCACTTAATGAAATAACAAGAGTACACGTAATTATAGAAACTATTGTAGTCCTTACCAATTATATAAATTCCCCTCCAACATTAGAGTATCAGAAAATTATCCTCACTAATCAGCTATGTGAAAATCATAACCACCTGTGAAATATGCAAGCAACCTCAAATCTCTGAACAGACAAGTTAGAGAATAACTAAATGATGAGCTTATTCAATCAAACATCAGATTATAGATGACTTTACAATTCTACTTTTATATCCTTTAGTTGCAGCAAAGTAATTAATCAGGGTGAATATCCCTGGCAATTCAATATAATTTGCAGCTGACAAATTTACAAGCCATAAGTAGGCATACACGACCACAAATAACAATATTTCAAAAGCAAGTGAGAGAA